GAAATGTCTTCCAGAAAATTGGGTAAAATTCGGGCGCGCAATTCAAACTGAATGGCGCGCTACCGCAGACTGCAGTGTCCGCAACGGTACTGCGCGTCGCCTCGCTTCTTCCTCTCATCAGAGAAATTGTCGATTAATTGTCAGTTAAAAAAACTTGTCGTGCTAGAAAATCGCGCCACATTCTGAAACACTTTAATACTATGAAGTGTTTTATGTATAGTTTTCATTCAAAGTACCGTATTTTCTCGAATATAGATCATCTGACCCCCCGAAGTTTTGGAAGATATTTTTGGGAAACTTCGTTGTGTACATTGGATGCTGGTCAATACAATAATGTTGTTAAAAAACTTATAACTCTCTTCAATTTTGTTTGTCAGCAAGTCCTAAGAACACTGCAGACGGAATTATATTAGAGAAAATACGGTTATAATGTTACTGAAGAAGCAGATTTGTTTAACATTGTAATAATCAGAACATTTTAATAATGCAGCCGCGTAATTGATTGAAACCGGAAATTTGAAAAAAAACCTCCTGAATGTTCGAAATATAATTTTTAACAAATCTGCCGTATGAAGTAGTGATTTACTTGTTTACCTTCTCTTTACAATACTAATTTCTTTGTTTGTTAGGCTTTCTTCGCTTTGTCACACTCTTTATTTTCTGCCATTTACCATCCACTTCTCTTTCTTCTACTTCAGGAATTACCTTTCTTCGAAGCCCTATATTTGCTCCTAATTTTCACTTCTACTACTACTTATCTATTATTTTTGCATCGTGACTTTACCCTTCAAAAGATAATAAATACACTAATGATAATTAATCTGAGAATATGCAATGCATTACAATTTTTACCTATCATGCGGCAAGAGTAATTTATCATTAAACTTAATTGTATTATTTATTCAAATACATAAAATAAACGTAGATATTGGACACTTCTTCACTGTTTTGTGGGAGGAAATTTTTGGTCTTATGTGTCTGGTACTGTTCATGACATACGTATGGAATTTTTAGAAAAATGATTATTCATGAAACACAGTGAACTAACATATAATTGTTATGTGTTAAAAATGATTGAAAACATTTTAATGTCTTCAATGCTGTGAATTTCTTGAAATAAAATGATGGAAATGATTCCAATAAGTCTTGATTCTGAAAAGGAGTTAGTATAACTTTGCTCTGGGACAGCAATTTATTAAAAGACTGTAGACTGCATTTATAAAATTAAATTGTTGCAAGGTATTGAAGTATGTTAACATAATTTTTTATTTCGATTGTTAGGTAATGATTCTATTGGGTACATGAAACTACCAGTTATCTTTTTTTACTAATTTAAGGTATACGGTCAAACCGCGATAACACGAACGTTGATAATAAGACATTTTTTAAACGTCGAACCAATTTTCATTACCTTTATAATTCTAAATACTGCTAAAGTATGAAGTATCGATAATCTGAAATTTGCTAACGTAAATTATTCTTTTCTTTTAGATAGTAAATCTTAATAACTCGAAGGAGAGAATGATTCAGTCGCCCTATATGTTCTCTCCAATGTTGGCGTACTAGCATACACGATGCTGCATCGGTGTCTCTCGGCCGCACCACCGAGAAGCGTTGGAGCAGAACCACAGAGCATGGGAAAGGAAAGATCCGCGAGTCACGGCTGTGGGTGCCGGCGGCCGCGTGGCACTCAGTGGCGGGGCTTCCGAGTGGCCTTGTGTGAAGACGGTATTCAGCTAGCGGTGGTGCGAGTGTACTGACCCCCACAGCGGCACCACTGACCCGCTCGTGCGAAGTCCTCCTTTTTAACCAATGCTTTGCCAACAAAAACGCTGAATGGAAGCGCTCCCGAGTGGCACTATGAAAGTGCCCTTAGTGCTGACCCCCTGAAACCTACCCACCATCTTTCCAACGTCCTACACGTGTTTTTTTCGCTTTGCCCCCATCATTCCTCGCCCGGTCCACTCCCGCCAAAGAACGCGGCGAAGCGTCTGCCGTGGTCAGGCAATGCGACCCTACTTCAAGGCCAAATAGACGACTTCCCTCCGTCCGTGCAATCAAACAAAATGGGGAGGGAGGGAGGGAGGGACCCGCGCGAAGTGTAGTGGTGAGTAAAATCACTGTATGAGAACTCTCGTCTGCAGATTCGTTTACTACACTACTTTCGGAAAATGAATGCCGATAATTTAAATACGAATACATCAGAATATTTTTATGATTTAATGACTATGCCCTTCGAGATTTACTAGTTGTTGTGATTTTATTAAATATATTTTTGAAAAATCCAAGAATTATTTCTTCCGGAGTCACTTCGAGATATTGAGGTTTGACTGTATTACAATTTTAAGAATATAATATTGGCACAACAATATCCATTATGTTGACTGATGCTTAACAGAAGATATCCATTTTTATGAAAAGTACTTAACATTTTGTACATAAAATGAAAATTAATAAATAGTAACATGAACAAGAAATGTTGAACGAATATTCTTGGAACGAATTCGTTCAAATAATTGTGTTATATGTCCAACTTAAGAACATTTTTATTGCAGACAAAATAACATGGAAACTATGCTCTCTAGGGTCTCCATTTATGTAGACATCATGATAAGTACAATAATGATTAAAAAAACATCATATTTTGTAGTGTAGTATTTTCTTGTTCTGTTATTGTCAGCTTACTTCTGTCATTATCTGCAAGTAAAATTATTTCTTGGTTTATTGAACTTCTATCCTTCAAAAGATAATGAGCATTGGACAAAAATTTTACTGACTTGTATGTTGTTATGAGATTATTAGTTTGAACTTATGACATTTAGAAGTTAATCATTTATATATACATTAATAATATTATTAAACTCTTATTCAAAGTGTAAAATCATAATCTTGATATTAGTTTAAATATTTGAACTAGAATTCATCTTCCAAACTGAGATTTCCTTTATTTTCTTGTACATAAGAATAAATTTATCTCAATTGTAAATAATATGGAAAGAAATGGATAATGCCCAATCAAATAGTCTGGAAATGAAGGTAATGGTGATGATGGCAATGATGAATTCATTGTGTTGCATTTGTAGAATTATGTAATAATAGAGCAGTGGCAATGAAAAGATGCAATTTGTTATGGGAAAGTTGAACATTACAAATAATATGGTACTAATATGAAATGTAAAGTATATATTTAAAAGATATATTTATTTATTTTTGGAGAGAAATAATATAACTTACCAACAATTTTTATCACTGCCCAAGCTGAGCAAAAATCAAATGCTGACAATTGTGCTTAGGGACCCATTTACAAATACGAACATGCTTGTTCAATACTGTCAACATTTCCGAGTTAGAAAAAATAAAGATAATATTATGTAGAGATTTTGTCATGTTTAGTCATGTGCTCATATCCAAATATTTCTATGGAATTTTTCTGAAATGTGTAAGGTAAATTGAAAAAAGATAAAAAAAAATAATAATTATAGTTTTGTGTCTTTTTATTTTAGTGTTAATCCACTTTCTGATGATATTATGTGAGGGGAAAGGTAATATATTTACAGTGATGCACAAACATTTATTTCTAGTCAAAGATTCCAAAAACAGATAAGACATAAAATTACCAATCTAATCATTTTTTGTGACGTTATTTATTGTGACAAAAATTGTTTAATGTGTCTGTATGCAAATCTGTGTATTGTTGTATTACAGTGTCAACCAAGCAAACTTCAGTGTTTTTAAGTATTTAACATTCTATGTTGTATAGTAGGAACTGTGATGTTGCATTGTAAAATCTATGTTTCTTTTATTCATTTGTTTTATCATGGAATGAGTCCATCTTGTCACCACAGAGGAAGAAAATATTCAGTTGTAAGAACAACTGAATTTTCTAGCAATTGGCAATGAAATTTTAGCATATTTGTGTCTCAGATGAGTGACGGGGAATTTTCTGGTTGCAAGTGACATAAGAAGGGAAATTGGTTGTGATTAACCATTGTTGAAGATGCAACAATGTGAGTTTGCCTTGGAAACAATTCAAGGCATCATCACATACTGCAAGCTTGCAGACTACAAACCAGCCAAACTAGATTAGTTCACAATTTTTAAAAAATTCTTCTTTGGTGATGAATGATATATCTCTGAGGGTATTTTAATTCCCTGATTGATGCCTTTCTACTGAAATTGTTCTGAATTAATAAATTATAATTTTCAAGAGAAAATGTCTTTTATTGACTCTATCTCCAAAACTCTTGGTCATAAAAAAATTGTTGGACAAGATTATTTTTCAATTGACACGCAAGCGCGCGCACGCGCACACACACACCAAACGCGCGCAAACGCACACAATTCGCATAGAAAAACCAATAACAAAGACGGTGCACTAAATTTGTTTGCAGCACTCATAAAAAGGCATTAATAAGCTTCTTATGCACAAAAACTTGGGTAATGGCACCAGTAGTGGCCACTTAACAAAATTTGCAAAATAAGAATGAGAGACTTCCCACTTGCTTCAAACCTAAAGAACATTGAGCTTATGCCTTCTTATGGCGAGGATTAGAACTATTCCACTCATGAAATTAAAACCAATAGTATTTAAATATAAATAGAAAAAGCCCCAATCAGGGCGGTCTATCTCAAACAGTATATCCCTTTTTCTTACCGCGTAAGATGATACAACTGTGACTCATCTAATTTACGAGGTTTTACTTATACATCAATCGCTATGTCGATTTCCCATAAGCACTGTTCATTATACATGTTTAATATATGTATAAACAGCGTATCTGCTACAACCATAACCTCTCATAACCTACGCTTTCAGCTATTTTCAATATTTGGCACATTTTGGACATAATTTAGACATAATTTCACTCGTGGGATAGTCCTATTTAATACCACTCATGCTTTGGAAATTCTCAGATAAATCGCCTCCTCGCTTCGCGAGTTGAGAATTTATCGACAATTTTCAAAGCACTCGTGGTATTACCTATGAAAATTATTTATATTCCCTTATTTTGTATTTAAAGAATGTGTTGAAAAAAAATTATGTTTATCCAACTTTTATCGAAGAAGGCCCTACATTGTTTCTTTTCTCATTTCTAAACTTCGCATTTTCTCAGATATGAATATTGCTGCAATATTAGATTATTATATGTATCATTAGAGATGTTTTTTCTCGCTTTTCAAATTCCAATTTCAAACCCATTTCTATCAGCGATAAAATGTAAAATATTTTAAATTTGTTATATGTTTAACATTAACATCTTTCATTATACACAATTGTTGCAAGAACATTTTAAAATAGAAATGCATGAAATTTGAGACGTAGTACCATACTATGCTCAAAATCGTCATGTTTTCGCAAGGGGTCGTCTATAAATTACGCATTGCTAAAGAGGGGGGAAGGGTTTTAAGCAGCGTCACGCTGGAGTTACGTAGGGCAAGGGGTGTTAGTTTATTGTGTTACGTAACAATTATTTTTTTACTGTTTCAACATTTGCTGAAATAATCATTTTTTTGATATATATTAAAACACTAAAATACGAACTAATTTATTCGTTTCAAAAACAAATTGTTTATTATTAAATATTATGGACATGGAAACCGAGGGAATAGTGCTACTTTTCCTTATAAAACATACTATTCTTTCTTTAAATTCAAAAAGATCCCCTGAATATTCCTGTCCTATTTCACGATTCCTCTTTGACAAACACCAATTATTTTCGCTCGGTGTCAATTAATATTTCATTATCAACAAAATACTTGATATTCGTCAAACAATAACTGAACAGAAATACCACAGATTCCAGTGGCGGCTGGTGCCCGAACAAACTGGAGGTTGCAGCTCTATCGAATGACGGAAATGTAATTTCCAAGATTCAGAACGCTAATGTGTAATAAAATGTAAGCAATTCATGCAAATTAATTAAAAATAAATTTAATAAAAATCTGTATTAAAATATTACTTGCATATTTTTATGCGTAGTGTCCGTGTCAGGTTTATTCACCTCGTAGTTCTGGCTTTGATTTCCAGTATTACACTAACACTTTTATACAAATAAAATTACTTTATTTCGGAAACTTCACTACCCTGTCACACATTGCAATAATGAAAGACAATCTACACACATTCGTATTCACAAGAATGCCCGGAAATTGCTGGTCAGACCATCTGTTTGGCAGACTGGATTTAGAGAGACACACGATAGACAAGTTGAAGGAATTCCATCGAGAACGGCCAACTTTACACAAAAAAACACATCAAATGTACGTTTTGATTCAACAAACCTAATATCAAATGAAAGCAAATGCTCCAAATGTAAACAATGCATGGAATACCATTAATAATTGATTGACCTTGTTTACTTTCAATAACACGCGAAATTCATAAAATTATGTAGCTAGTCAAACGAAGACTGAATATTGGTATCCCTAGGGTTGGGCAGGGGGGGGGGTTGGGGTTTAAATACATGTATTAGAAGTACGTATTTTAAATACATTTTGTATTTGAAAATTTGTTTTTTTCAGTTTTTGTATTTTGTATTTTGGAGATGTATTAAATTTATAAAATGAGTTCATTTAAAAAATATATTCTTAAAATACATTAAATAGAGATGAAAAAGATAACGAAGATAGTTTCTTCTTGTTTCATTTCACTAGTGAATGTACCTCATTGAAACAAAATTAAAGCTCCTTTCAGCTGTTAAATTTGCATTCTTTGCATTTTTAAATGATTTATCTAAATCATTACAAATACAGGACAATTATCCGAAAATAAAAAAGCGTTTATTCGTTATAACACAAGTTTTTTGTTTGTTATTTAAGGTCGCATCAACTACTAGGTCATTAGCGACCACTATTGCTTGTAACGGTATGGTAACTGTGGGTTGACACGATAATGATGATAATAGGGGATGAAAGGACGAAACACAATACAACCATGCCCGAGGCGGGACTCGAACCCGCGATCATTCGGTCCGAGTTCGCTACGGCACTACTGCCTTAGCGATCTCGGCTACCTGATCGGCTGCTAGTTTAAATTCATCTACGCCAGTCGTTTTAAAAGCCAATTCCATTTATTTGATTTAGACATATTTTATATAATTTTGTATTTGAAATTTTTTATACATAAATGTGTATTACAGTTAGTTATTGTTCAGAAATTTTTATGGTTGTCAATTACTAATATATTGTTGCAATAAAAAAAGATATAATACAAAATTATGGTATTTTGAGTATCTGAAGTCTTTTAAATACATATGTATTTAGCAAATCAAAACTTAATGTATTTTGAGTATATATTTTAATACATATTTATAAAGTATTTTGGGGAAGTATTTAAATTCTAAATTTGAAGTATTTTGCCCAACCATCGGTATTTTCCTCGGACTACCCCGGTCGACGCGCAGATATCCATAGTGCTCGGCCACAAGCCCCCCCCCTCCCCTCACCCATTGGTTGCGTCACCACAGGCCATATGTCTTCCCGCGTTAAAGCGAAGGGCTAAAGAGTAAATGCAGTAAAAAATGTCAGGGTTGTCTTCTTAGCGGCCAATAAGAAACAGTATTACAGCCTCGTGACCAGGGAATCATTCGAACTTTAAAAACGTATTATTGCCATGAGATGCGCGCAAGAATTCTTGAGAATATGGAAGAGTCACAAGGAATGCTAATGATCTTGCTAAGACCAATGTTCTTGGTGTCCTACATCTTTCAGCAAGGTGTAATATGTCTGTAAGTACAATCCAGAACTGT